TTGACGAGGTGCCCTTCTTTCCAGTTCATCGGCACTTGTTCCTCCTCCCAAATCTTTTTGAATAGAAGGTAAAGCATGTTTGTAGTTGCTTCGATGTCTGACTTCAGTGCTTCAGCTGGTATGTTGTCCGGACCCGCTGCTTTCCCGTTCTTGATTTGTCTGACGGCCATTCTGATTTCTTCCTTCGTTGGTGGGTTGACGTCTATGGGAAGATCCGTGTGTGCCGCTTCGATGTCTGGTGGATTCATTGGAGCCGACCTATTCAGGAGTTCCTCAAAGTATTCTACCCATCTGTTCCGCTGTTGTTGAATTTGGGTGATTGGCTTGGCTTCTTTGTCTTTGACCGGCCTCTCTGGTTTACTGTATTTCCCTGCTAGTTTCTTTGTTGTATCGTGAAGCTGTTTCATATTTCCTTCTCTTGCAGCTTTTTCTGCCGTCATTGCTAGTTCTTCCACGTATTTCTTCTTGTCGGCTCTAATGCTCCTCTTCACTTGTTTGTTTGCTTCTATGTATTCAGCTTGTGCTTGGACTTTCTCTGCTCGTGTTCGGCTGTTGTTTATTGCTGCCTTCTTGTTCTTTCTTTCTTTGATCTTGTCCAGTGTTTCTGTAGAGATCCATTCCTTATGATGGTATTTCTTTAGACCCAGAACCTGTTGACACGTTGAAGTTAATGCTTGCTTGATGCCTTTCCAGTAATACTCCATACTAGTTTCTTCTTCGTTCAGTAGATCTTGTAAGGCTTGGAACCTGCTGTTGAGAGTTATCTTGAATTCATTGAGTTTGTCAGTATTTCGAAGGAAGGCTGTATTGAACCTTTGTAGTGCTGTTTGTCCACTTGTCCAGTTCTTTTTTAGCTTCAGTTTTAAATTGGCCACAACTAGGTGGTGATCTGAAGCTACGTCAGCGCCTCTCCTGGTTCTCACATCTTCCATTGTCCTTCGGAATTTTTTGCTGATGCAGATATGATCTATTCGGTTCTCTGTAGTGTGGTCCGGTGAGATCCATGTAGCCTTGTGTATACGCTTGTGTGGAAATATTGTGCCTCCTATGACCAATTTGTTGAATGCACATAGATTTGCAAATCTTTCTCCATTTTCGTTTCTTTCTCCCAGTCCATGTCGTCCCATAATATCTTCATATCCAGTGTTGTCTATTCCGACTTTGGCATTTAGATCTCCCATCAAAATAGTTAGGTCCTTTCTTGGGCATTTCTCAATGACTGACTGCAGACGCTCGTAGAACTGATCTTTAATGTCGTCGTTGCTATAATTTGTGGGTGCATAACATTGGATAATATTTATTAAGATCCCCTCCTTCTTTGTTTTGAATGATGCTTTGATGATTCTGGATCCGTGAGATTCCCATCCTACAAGTGCATTTCGTGCTACTTTGGACAGCATAAGAGCGACTCCCTGAGTGTGTGGGGCATTGTCCTCTCCGTGACCGGAGTATAGCAGCATCTCTCCCGTAGCTAGCCTTTTCTGTCCAGCTTGAGTCCAGTGGGTTTCGCTGATTCCCAGTACTGCTAAGTTGTATCTCCTCATTTCCATTGCTATTTGACTGGTCTTCCCGGTTTCCCACATTGTTCGAACGTTCCATGTACCTATAAAAATGTTTGCTCTGGTTGTTAGAAGGGGCATCGGCCTCGTGGCTTCCGAAGGAACTCGGCTTTTACCATGAAGCGTCATAATTCTTCTAAATGAAGACCTTCTAACTCCCAGGGCAGAGTTTAAATGGTTTGGATTAATTTTTCTGGTAAGCGTTTTTTTAGCGAGTTAGTTTTCTACGGGATGGGGACGCTAACCCCATGCCCAACCCTCCTCCTTTACCCGGGCTTGGGACCGGCAGTAACCCTATAAGAGCTACAGGCGGAGTTAATATGTAAGATCTATGAAATTATAATTGTTTCCAAGAGTTTATATGAGCAAAAATATGTTGATTGATGTATCATTTGGTCGATGTCATTCCTAACGCTTGGAGTGTTATTAATTAGTCATCATCCGACATTTATGAAAATCTTTTTGTATTTCATAGACAAATGAACTGCATACTCTCTATTATTTTAGGTACATAATACAAAGTTAAATAAAAAATCGAGTTGATTTTAAATATTATCCGGACTTATCAAACTTTCTTTTCTAAATATCTGAATAACCTGAAGGTAGGTTTATACCTAAAGAACCTATGATCAGTTGAGTTATGGAGATCCAAAATTAAATGGTAAGAATGTTGGAAGATAGTGAGTTTTGTATCACTGGTAGATAACCTAGTATTATGAGTGAGTAAATAAATGGAAATGGAAAATCTATGGAGGCTGTTCTCTAATGATTAGCATACATGTCTTTCAATTAATGTTAATCAAATAACTATGACTGGTTTCTAGGTTATTAACGTAGATTACCAAGAGTCATCAACGTTCATGTTCTGCTTTGGATTCTATTGTGACACCAGTAAATATTCGAAAATGTTTGAAACTCTTTGTACCTAGCCTTTATGGGTTATTTCAGTCAGTTTTTCTCGATGATAACGAAACTTATAGTCACAAAACTGACGTTCTGACACATGTTCGTCTCGTTGTTCATACTCAAGGCGATGATAATTGTTAATTGATTTTCACCAAGACAAACTTTGATAGTGAGTTATACGAATATCAGTCTTAGGTACTATAATACTGATATAACGGCAAAAAAAAGTCGAAATTACATTCTTTTACTTATTATGGTTTTTGTTCAGTGTTACTTCCGTTTGTTTTTTTAAAATCACTGTGATAATCACTAAGTGTATTTGTTTTCTCGTATATTTTATTCTGTATAATATACGATATTCTTGTATTAGAAATTGACATGAACTATGCTTAGCATGACATGCAGAATGGGATAACTCGAAGTATTTTTCATATGTGTGATTTCATCCTAATTATTAATCAAAGTGTGTGTACGATCAATATATAAATGAGTGTATTTTCGACTAGAGTTGTTGTCGTCGTGTTTCGGGGTTAATAAATCATCACTTGTATCAGTCTTTGTGTTCTTACTTTCACGTCGTGGGAATCGCAGTTGTTCCTCGCTTTACAAGAATAAGTGATAAGTGATTCTGACATAATAATCAGAGACGACCAGATATAAAAAGTAGCTTTCGATTCGAAGACATATGAAACTGTTGGGGACGATAGATCCCCAAAATTCATATTTTGTTATTTCATCTTATCGATGAACTTATCGATTTAATGTTTAAATAGTAGTCAATTGATGAAGTCATTGATTAATGTTTAAAAATTTCCCATGACAATATTGATTATGTATATTTGTATATATACGTTTTAAATTGTGTTTGTGGGCTCGCTCGTTTTCTGGCTGTTTGTAGAATATATTTTCCATACCAAGCTTGGGCTTCTCCTTCTAGGTAGCGGGGCTGGAATGCATCAATAGCTGGACTACTGGTCTCTGGTCACTGAGTCTTGTTCTTGTTCGCAGATTAAGTGAACTCGTGAAACTTCAAACTTAACAGAAACACAACCTCTGATGCATTTGTCATTACTTTACTTTTAATTATGATATCGTACCTATTCGCTACTGCGTTCCAATTCGTCACAGTATGGATTCAGTATGGAAAATAGGTTAAGAAAAATGTTAGCAACTCACTTTAAGCTAATCTTATAAGTAAATGTCGAGTAATGTCAAAAGCATGTAGCCTGTTTATGCGGTAAGTCAGACGGAAAACTTCTTAAACGATAAAACATGAGAAGAACAATAGAGATCAGAGGAAAAACTCATACTGAAATAAATAACCTTTGGCATTGTTTTTATTAAAGAACCTCTAGTAATACAATCTTTATGGGATCCTGACAGGATTATGAATACATTTTCTATATTCCCATCACCCAAAGTAAATACTTTCAAGCCAAGTTATGTGTAGATTGTATTAAGTCGTTATTTGATTGATTTTGACAGTTGTACATACCTTATTAATCAATACGTAAATAGACTGCCCAAGCTGAGAATCTCATGCTACAAAAGTAATATAACTTGTGGTGTATTGGATAGCTTCAATAAGATAAACTATCTGATGAAATACTTCAAATTTCTTGTATAAATAAGTACAAAGTCACAGCTAGCTACGTATATATTCAAACTTGCTTAATAGTATTGGTCATGTAGTAAAATCTAGAGTAGAAGCGTAATAATCGGAAATACATCCACCATACTTATCACGCATTTCTAAATTGAACACTATATTATGATAAGACAACTTCAACAACCGAATTTTCCTTCTAATTCATTTTTGTATTGTTTGTTTGGATCTTCCCATTAATGTTTAGGACTGCGATTGATCAGTCTCTTATTGGCATATGTGCATTCTGTACGGATTGCCCCGATATTGCCTTAAATCACAAGCAAAGCACCTTTCACTGATGAGACTTTAATAGTGTGGTGGTTGTAGTGGTTCTCAACAGTTAGTTATTTGAGATTACCTGAAATCAACCCATTGGTTACTTTTGCCAGTGTACTATGATTTGTTCGAGAACAGGAATGTATCATTTCTGTTTATCTTATGATAGTAATCGTTCAGTTCATTACATGTGGCTTCTAGCGTTTTGTTTCGGCAAAAACAATCGTAATTTCACGCGGTTAACTTCCAATATATAATCATAACATCAGTCTAGAGAACTATATGTATTGGGATAAATAAGATGGTAAATGACTTCACCATGTTTCATTTTTTAGGTCTCCGATGCTGTTGTCGAGCCATACAATGCTACACTGTCTGTACATCAACTTGTTGAGAATACTGATGAAACGTTCTGCATCGACAACGAAGCAGTCTATGACATCTGCTTCAGAACACTCAAGTTAACCAACCCCACTTATGGAGATCTCAATCACTTGGTCAGTGCAACCATGTCTGGAGTGACGACCTGCCTCAGATTCCCTGGACAGCTGAATGCTGATCTACGGAAACTGGCGGTCAATATGGTCCCGTTCCCTCGACTGCATTTCTTCATGCCAGGATTTGCTCCGCTAACAAGTCGTGGCAGTCAACAGTATCGCTCATTAACTGTGCCTGAACTGACACAACAAATGTTCGATGCAAAGAATATGATGGCTGCGTGTGATCCTCGTCATGGTCGTTACTTGACAGTGGCGGCGATCTTCCGTGGTCATATGTCTATGAAGGAGGTGGATGAACAGATGTTGAATGTGCAGAATAAGAATTCGAGTTATTTTGTCGAGTGGATCCCGAATAATATGAAGACGGCAGTATGTGACATTCCTCCTCGTGGTTTGAAGATGTCGGTGACTTTTATTGGTAATAGTACGGCTATTCAAGAGTTGTTTAAGCGTGTTTCTGAACAGTTTACTGCAATGTTCCGTCGTAAAGCGTTTTTACATTAGTACACAGGTGAAGGGATGGATGAGATGGAATTTACTGAGGCTGAATCAAATATGAATGATTTGGTAAGTGTCAAGTTGCCACTGCCAATGATGAAGAAATGTTTGAAGAAGACTAAATTGTATCTTGCCCCTCATATGTTTCTTTGCATACTTTCATATTTCTTAATACAGTAATTGAATTAGATTTAATTTTTTCACTTTCAATTCCTGTAATTTATTGGAGTTCTTTGCGTACATTGAAGCGTTTTTTGTGCTGAGCGTCGACATGACTAGAAGCTGGATGACAGTAATGCTGTTGATTTAGTTTAATTTACTTTCATATTATCTAATAGCTGAAAGTTCTGATGCATTAAATTAGTTGGATTTTAACAAGCGAATGTTTAACGATGCAAAATAAAGATAAATACAAAGACGTACTGTCCCATAGTTGCATATCCAATAACTTTTCCCAGCCTGTCTATATGGGTAGGGGTGGGTAACCGTTATTCTTTTGCATGCTCGTCCGAACCCTGGTTAGCTTTATGTTTGCTTACTAAGATCTTGTCGGATTGCTATTTTGCCTTCTGGTTCTCGTAGCAGTATTTCGCCAAGTTCCTTATATTTTTTTACTGGGTAGTTCGGGCACTCCGTTTCCTGGCTATTGTCCTACGGATATGTTGTGTAATTGAACTATGGAAGATCCACACCCATACTTTTAGCATTCTGGAAGATTCAGTTCGGACACAGCCGTTTACTTATCCATGGTTTCTTGTTTTCTGTATTAGGTTGTAGGTTTTCGAATTGATTCATATTTTTTAATATTTCTCTTATTGTTCCTTCATCTTCTAAATATCCGTTGTTTTGAGGGCCTGACATATTTGACGTTTTACCAGAAGTTTAACCGACTAAAAGTAGACCGTTTGATTGTCCAAAACAATAGATGGAGATTTTTGTAATGTGATGTTACGATAGTTGCTTGTTCAACGACGTGAAACGTTCCTATGAAATGGCCCATTAAAGTTTTTGCAAACACCTAAGGTTCTATTCATGTGATATGTACTCCCTATACAGACAGATGTATGTACTAAGAACTCGGGATAGGATTCTTACTGACAGAAAAACATGAGAAGAGGAGAAAAGACAAAAGCAGTGTGAGTAGCAACAGCAGTTGAAGAACGATTTAGTTTGTAAGATACAACTCAATGAAGATGTGCAAATGATGTATCCAGTGTATTGTCGTCATATCTTACAGGTGCGGTGTGTGATTTTACTTAATATAGTATGTTAATTTACTCTACCTGAGTCTTTGTTCATTATACTAGTACTAGCCATATCTGTAGCTTTGCTTTTATGGATGATTTCGATGACGTCTCTTCACAATCTCTTCAATATTTGGGCAATATAAGTTTCCACAGGCGATTGATTTCACCACTAGGACATGAAAAATGCACCTATACTTGTTTCGAAAATTAGAGTTCAGTACAGTAATTAACCATTTTTCGAAACGACTAGCTGCACAAAATGGAAAGCTTTCCTTAAATTCTAAAATTAACCAATAGGCTTATGGCCAGGAAGTAGTGTACACATTTGGAACTTGTTAGTCGCCAAAAACCAGGAGATTTCAATTCTTTTTCAATTGCATTCAGAGCGTGTAAGTGTCCGTGTTGCATGACAGATCACTTCTTCACAATCGTCGAGAAAAACATGAAGTGGATGCCCTGATACTACGGTTTGATTTATTAACATCCACAGAAATTTCCAGCTATGAGTTTCCTAATGGTATAATTAAAGGATATGTATGAATATCAATAAAGAGGTCTGATCCTACAATTGGTTTGTTTTTCATCCAAGTTGGTACGTAAGAACATAGACATTCTGCGGTGTGCTACTTATATCGACATAAGTAGTATATAAAGAGATATGGACATACATAGAAGTTACACGACTATATACATAAAACCAAGTGAAATGATTATTCAACACATGTATATGAAATACTTATTCTCGATATCTTAATGAATAATTCAGATTAATACAATATTTAGTTAATTGAAACCTGGTCAATTTATCAAACGGCTATATGACAAAAGGCTTTTTACTACAAACAAATAAAACGTTACAAATTTCAAGCGTTCGGTCAAGGTCACTTAGACTTGAAATATCTAAGTATTTACCGTTCTTATCAAATACATAGCACACGTCTGTGGTCGACGTATTTCTCATTTTTTCAAATGCCAAAAGAGTGAAACTTGCTGCTTCCTAGATCACTGATGCCGTGGAACATTTGGAATTCAGAGATTTCAGAACATGATTAGTTGTGTTACACCTTAAATCTCGACGAGGTATAAAAAGACAAACTGATAAAACTATTGAGAAGTAAAACAAAGTGCAAACCACTGCATTGCGTTTTGCATATCCTACTTGTGCTTGAGAAGTAATGAGAAATGAGTAAAATCGTAATAAAATGCTGAGCGTCTGAGATGTATACATGATTCACAAAGATCGTTTATGGTGTAACTAATTTGGCAACCAAATGCCAGTGACGTTGAACCAACAGTACATTATCTTGAAACTAATTTCTAAAATATATCAGGGATTCCTTCATTTTCTAGAGAAGTATCCCCTTAGAAAGCGTTAGGAATTCTGTGGTTATTGATAAAACACAACTTTATTGTTAAGCAACGACGAAATATTTTGATTTCCCATTAAGAAGCAGACATTAGCCATGATGATATTGACATGCCTCCGTCGAGTTACATCTCAGGTGTTGATAAACAGAAACAGTGACTTTCTTTACATAAAAACTGAAACTCAGTAATTAATGGAAATGCATGTGAACAAATCTTAGTTTAAAAACTAGGTGTTTACTGTATTATTATTATTATTATTATTATTATTATTATTATTATTATTATTATTATTATTAATGGCTTTACTCAATATTATATTTTGGTACAATATAGAATTCTCAGCATAGGGTATTTCAACAAGTTACTTGCGCAAAAAAAGACAGTAACAAATACCAAAAAAAATGAAAAAAAGGTTTTTCTTAAAAAAAACAACCGAAAAACTGTACAAATTTTCAAGTTAGAGACATGTTAAGATTGCAGGTTATTGACTAGGTTAACTCTAACAACCTGTTCGTCACAGAGTATATTTGCTAGGTAAGGTATTATAGAACTTTTATACTTTTACTTGCGTGCATGGATTTTAATGTAATTACGTCTCGTTCTAACCGATGATATGCAAGGAGAAAGATAAGAGTGAAGGGGATGGCTAGTATCTGATAAAATAACACCTGCCAGGAGTTTGCATGATTTTAAAAGTCTATCCACAACCATATTAATTATGACCTCGAAAGATTCACCACACATCTTGCTAACTGCCCTCAGCATTCTCCGCAATACAGCAAAGTCTTTCCTCAAAAGCCCGGAAAAGAATAATGGAGAACAGAAAAGAATAATAGGTGATATGCAAGAATTGACAAATTGTAAGAGTAAACGACGAGTAATCCCAAGAGCATGCGATCTCTTTATGTAGTAAGGCAGACGGAAAACCTTCTTCGATAACAATAAAACGTGAGAAGACCAAGACAGATCACAGGAAAAGGAAACACCAAGATATTTGACCTTCGACACTGTGTTTATCAAAGAGTCTCCAATGACACAAGCATTATGGGATCTCAAAATGATGTTTAGATGCCGTTCATGTCTCGTGCTAAAGTTAACAGCTTGACATTTAGACGGATTAATTATGAGACCATTACCAACAGACCAACAATCAATACGAGACAAAAACTCATTCATTACTATGGGATGTAAAGAGGAAGAGATAAGCATATATACAGTGAGATCATCCGCATATTTCACAAAGGTTTTGGCAGATTATGAAGAAAAAAAGAGGAAAGAAGAGGCGAAAAAACAGCTCCTTGTGGTACACCTTCATGAGACAGTAGAGACTCTGAACACTTTCCTCCAAACATAGTGTAATGTTCCCTTCCAGAGAGGTAGGGACATAGCCAGTTGGTTATCCAGCTGTCAGTGTTGACGCTGATTAACTTGTTAAGTAAACGTTGTCTTGGTATAGAATCAAAAGCTGAAGTATAGTCCATGATCGATCACTACGGAAACTAGTGTCTTATTTGGAAATCGTGCGTCTACTGAGTCTTTCATTTGGTTGAACAACACTGTTGGAGCCTTTCTCCGGCGTTAACAGAGGCAATCTATCTGTAGTTCTCGTACCTGCTATGATCCCTTTTCCTCGACATCTTTTTGAGATGTCCTTGTTCCCAATCTGTGTGTACTTGTTCTTCCTCCCAAATCTTTTTGCAGACATCGTGAAACATCTTTACAGTTACTTCTATGCCTGAATTTAGTGCTGTGTCTGGTATGCTGTCTGGTCCTGCAGATTTACCATCCCTGATTTATCTAGTGGTCCTGGTGTATTATTCTGTTACTGATGCGTTGAAATACACAAGGAGGTCTGTATGTTGCTTTGATGTTCGATGGATTCATAATTTCTGGTGTACTGAAGAGCTCTTCAAAGTGTTCCCACCACCTGTCCCTCTGCTCTTGGACCTCGGTGATTGATTTACCCCGTCTCTTCCTGGCTGTCTACTGTGGTTTACAACATTTGTCTGCAAACGTCTTGTCTGTGTCCTATAGTTCTTTCATACTTTCTTCCTGTGAGGTTTGTTATGCTGTAGTTGTCAGGTCTTCTACATATTTTTGATTGTCGACTCTGATGGTCTTCTTCACTCGTTTGTTTGCTTCTGTATATTCGACTTTTGTCTTGGCTTTCTCTAGTTTTGTTCGGTTGTTTTCGATTACTATCTTCTTGTGTTTCCTATTTTGAATCTTTTCCCGGGTATCGATATAGACCCACTCTTTGAGATGATGCTTCGTGGGACCTATCACCTAGCATGTTCACGTTATCGCTCTTTTATTCTCTTCCCAATTGTTTTTCATGGTGATTTCCTCTTACTGTAATATGTTTTGTAAGGTTTGGAACTTGTTTCCCTG